TTTTTTTTTTTCTTTTAGAATCTGGAATATGTCACTCCATTCTCTTCTGGCCTGTAGAGTTTCCTCTAAGAGGTCAGAAGTAAATCTGATTAGGGTCATTCTATGTGTTAACTGATTTGTTCATGCGCATATTTATGTATCTTTTCCCTGTGTTTAATGTAGAGCACCTTATTATCATGTGTTGTGGCCAAGATCTATTTCGCCAGCCCTATTGGAAGTTCTGGCCTCTTCCTGTACTTTGTTTTCCAATTCTTTCTCCAAATTAGGGAAGTTTTCCTTTGTTATTTCATTGAGTACCATTTTCTTTAAGGATAGGGCACACCCACTGATTGGAGTGGAGTTTTTTTTTTTTTTTGTATTTTAGAAAGTCAGATATACAGAGAGGAGGAGATACAGAGAGGAAGATCTTCCATCCGCTGGTTCACTCCCCAAGTGGCCACAATGGCTGGAGCTGAGCCAATCTGAAGCCAGGAGCTAGGAGCTTCTTCTGGGTCTCCCATGTGGGTGCAGGGTCCCAAGGCTTTGGGCCGTCCTCGACTGCTTTCCCAGGCCACAGGCAGGGAGCTGAATGAAAAGTAGGGCCACAGGAGTAGAACCAGTGTCCACATGGTATCCTGGCACGTTCAAGGCGAGGACTTCAACAGCTATACTACTGTGCTGGGCCCTCATCTAATAAATTTTAAATCCCAGCTTCCTTTTCTATGCCTTCTGGAACTCCTATAACTGTTATGTTCGTCCTTTTCAGTTGCACTTCCAGCTTTTTGAATTTCCACCCATCATTGAACTAAATGTATTTCAATTCTGAGATTCTTTCTTCTGCCTCCCTCATTCTATTACTGAGACTTCTCACGGAATTATTAATTTGCTCCATTGTGTTTTTCCTTTCTAATATTTTGCCTTAGTTTGGTTTCAGTGTTTTTATTTCCTGTGCGACATATTCCTATAGCAAGTGTTTTTTTCCCAATTCCTTATCTCCCATTTCCTTGATGTCTTCCTCAGTTAACTCTGAAGTTGGCAATAGTCTTTGCTCATTTGTGCAAGAAGCATCAGTACTATTCATTGCTCTCTGTCTCTTCTTTTGGTCTTGGTCATTATACTTCTGGTTAGGAGAGTCTTCTCCTTGGGGCAGGTTTCTAAGCTGTGTCACCCACAGGTCTGCAGTTTGATTTTCCGTATTGCAGTTGCTACATGGTTCTTGATTTGCAGTCACTTGTCCCACTCTCTCCAGCTAGTACCAGTTCTGGTTTCTTATGTTAGACTTGCACCATGGTCTGCGTAACCCCAGGACCTGGCTCACCACGCTGCACCTGCTATGATACCATCCTGAGTCTGTACCTTTCTCCCATTTCTGGTTCAGGCAGTTCCCAAGATTAGAGAGACACCAGATGTCCTATACTGCTAGGTTTTTGATGGTGCTGATCTTGCTGGAACCTGTTGGCAGTTAGGTCTAGGGACCACACAAGCCTATTTTTATCCATATGCTGCCATAGTCGGTATTATTTTCCCTGTGGGACCAATGCAATGCACTGAGCTCAGTGAGTTCACTCCCAGCTGAGCGCATGCTCAGCTCACTTGTCCCTGCATTCTTTCAGTCCTGGTTTCTTATACTAGGCTTCCACTGTGGTCTCTATAGCCATAGCTCCTGACTCACCACTTTCCATACTCTGTGATCCTGTGCTGTGGCCACACCATTCCTGCACTGCCTTTCTTCCAGTCCCAGTTTGAGCACTGCCCAAACTGGGAAACTAGGGAGACATCAGCTGACCCCCAAATCACTGGATGCTGGCTTTACTGGAGCCCACATTCCCTCTGACGGATTTGCCTGGTCCCTCTCTGGTTCTTGCATGTGCTGTTTGGGTGCTGCTGCCACATTTGGTATGACTCAGCTCAACTTGGCATTCCATAATGTGCACAGGTTTGGGAAGTGACCGATCCTAGCCCAACACACACTCTATTCTGGTGTTCATATTTGCCAGCGGGTGATGTGTTCTGGTTCAGTCTGGTCTGCCCCCCCACCGCCATGCCAAATGTATGTTCTTGGGTATGTTTCTCTGGCCTGGTCTGGGTTGCTCCCTATCATGGTTCTTGTGCTCACCTGTAGGGACTGTGTCCTGACAGAGGAGTTTCCAAAGTTCCTCCATCAGAACCTCTCCCTATGCCAGATCTTGTGCATACTGGTGGATCAATGGGCCAGCCCTCCTTGTTGGCTGTCAATCAATTCCAGTTCTTACTGTTGGATGTTTCAGCCCAGCCAAGGCTTGTCCATACCCAGACACTGCTCACACATGGCTCAGTAGGGGCAGAGACCTAGCCTAGTCTGTCCTACATCTACCCAGGTTCTCCAGAGCACCAGATGGTGCTGGCGTCCAGCCCAACTCTGTGTGCCCAGCCCCAGTTCACACTTGTGCCAAGGGAGATTGCAGCCATATCCATACCAGAATGCAGCCCCCACTCTGTCCCCCTCACTCTCCATGGAACCCCAACCCAGTTGAGCCTATTCCCAGCCCTAGATTACATACTTGCCAGTAGTTGCTGTGACCCAGTTGGCTTAGTCCCTCACCTCTCTCAGCCTTTGCCTTTGATGCTGTGGCCTTAGTATCCCATGCTTATGCAGACCAGTTGGTGTAAGAGCCTAGTTCAGCATGACCTGTGCCCCATCCTGAATTCTGTTCTTCCTTGTGAGTTGAGGTTTGCTAAGCCTTGCCAGGTCCGTTCCCTTCCAGGTGCAGTCTGGCCCACCCCACATCCTATTTTAGCATGTACTTTTGGGTGCTGCTTCCTTGACCTGCCAAGACTGTTGTTGGTTCCTTTACACGTATGTGATGGTAAGTTCCATGGTCACACCTAGCTCAGCCCATCACCACCCCAACTTTCTGAGCTAACCTGAGGGACTTGTATTTCCAGAGTGTGGCCCATACATCCCCCACAGAATCTACCCCCTGGACCAGGATTTCTCATTTGCTGGTTAGTGTCTTGACCTACCAAATATGACCTGTTCAGTGTTCCAGCACTGAGTCAGGTACTGGTACCTAGCCCTGCCAGACTGGTCCCCATGCATAGCTTTCATGTGGTCTGGGCTGTCTCTGGCCTCCCCATCTCACTAGATTACAGACTTCATGACGTTTAGGGGAAATGTCTGCCTTCTTACCCTAAGGTTTTTGCCATCTATCACTATAAACCACTTGTTGACAAATTCAATGCTTTAGACATCTTGGTGTACATAAGCCAGGAATTTTATTTGTCAGCTATTGGCCTTTTGCTTCTACTAAATAACACAAATTGTTTCTGATTCACACACACGTATTCTATTTCAATATTTTCTATTTTCATTGGAATGAGAGGCGGCCGATCTTCCCTGGTTTACTTCTGCTATTTTACTGCCAAAATATCATATGGTTGTGAGATCCATCATTGGGAATAGGACACAAAACCCAGGTCTCCCAGGTGGCTGACATGAATCCAACTCCTGCTGTCATCATTGCTGCCTCCCAGGGTCACTGTGATCTGAAACTAGAATCAGAAGATGTACCTGGAACTCAAACCTGTGCCCTTCAAGGATGCAAACCTGAGTGTCTTAACTGGCATTTGAAACACTGGACCAACTCTGACCTGCATTTCATTCTGTTTTGGAATGCAATCATTTGATCAGTTTAAGTAGTTTTTTTATTAATTGCATTGCATTATGTGACAGTGTTATAGGCACTGGGATTTCTCCCACCCCTCCCCAAACCCTCTCCCCATGGTGGATTTCTCCACCTTGTTGCATTACCACAGTTCAAATTCAGTTGAGGTTCTTTCATTGGAAGTATTTACCAAGCATAAAGTCCAGCATCTTATTATCCTAGTGAGTTCAACGATTTCTTGGTGAGACCATCTCTGGTCTGAAGGTAAAGCCAGCAAAGTATCATCCCAATCAATTAAAAGCCCCAACATAACATCAACAACAATTTATAACATTATGGCATTAATTGACATGGTATTGATTAACCAATATGTTATTGGGAAAATGCAGGTTCTTAAAAAAATGTTCTGTACCTAAACAAATGACATATATCTTGGTAGAGTTATAAGCTAGTTCAGACCATCTGAAAAACAACCAAGTTCAGCCAAATCATGCTTCAACACTATAAACTGCTAAAGATTGAAATGAAAATAGACACGAGACAGCTGAATAGTAATCTATAGCCATTTTGAGGTGTATAGAACCCGGTTGAGTATAAACCAAAATTGAAATGTCTATGAAGAAGTCACAGGATTTTTTACAAACTAAATTGCACCTTGATGTGAATGGCATGTTTCTAAACCAGCAAGCAGGAGATAATGGCTACATCTTAACCTAAAATCAAATGCAATAGGAAAGTAGCTGATAATTGATCATCTAGAGGCTACACCCTACAACCTTCTCCCTCTCAGGATTTAGTCTCAATGCCTGCTCATAGCACTCTAGGGCTTCACTGAGGTCTCCTTTCAGCTTGTGGACCAACCCAAGGAGACTCAAGCCTTCTGGATCTGATTCATTGCTCTCTAATTTCTTCAAGGCCAATTGTTTCACAACATCGATACTTTTATCCTTGATAAAGGATTCCTGTTCTATTTTTATTGCTTTTAAATAATGGCTAATTGCTTCTGCTTCAGATTTCTTTTGAAATTGTAGAAACTGAGCATAGTAGAAATGTATATATTGCAAAGAGTATTGTTGCCCTGGTATTATGCCTAGCACTTTTTGGAAAGTGTCTTCAGCTTTTTCATGATCTCCTGCATGTATATATGTGCGTGCCAGGTCAACATAAGCAATCTCAAATGAGGGCTTTAGTTTCACAGCATACTCAAAATGAAATATGGCTAATTGAACCAGTCTGTCCATATCTCTTCTGCTCTGAACTTGAAACTGCCAGTTGGTAGACTTCTTTATTTGGATCATTTGACCCCTGTAGCAGAGTCCCATCTGGTGATGAAGAAAGGCAGAGTTGGGTGTTGCCTTCAAGGCCTTTTTTAAATACCTCAGAGCTTCATCTAGATGACCCTGTCTGCGGTAAAACTTGGCTGCGTACCGGAACACGTAGGTCTGTGAGGACCCATGGGTCAGAGCTTCTTCAAGGTGCATTTGTCCTTCTGCTTCCTCTCCCACATCCTGCAGCTTCAGAGCAAGGAGAGCTTTCAGGTACCCATCTTGTGGGTTGAGGCTGATGGCCTTTCTGAGGGGAGGAAGGGAGAAGGCCTCACTGATATTGCTTAGTCTTCTGGGTGCGTGATCCAGGCGGTAGGTGACAATTGCATAGCCAGTGTTGAATTCAGGGTTTTCAGGGTCCACTTCCAGAGCCTTTTGAAAGCAGGCCTTGGCCCGTTCATAGTGCTTTCCTCCACACTTCAGCAAGGCCCATCCTTCCACACAGTCCATCTCAGGACACTCCACTCTATAGCGGGAAGAATCTTCAAACCTGTTGCAAATCTCCTGCACCTTGTCCAGGTACTTCTGTGTGTCTTCCCATCTGCCCATGTGGTAATAGACCCAGGCATAGTTGCCCCAGGTCACCAGGCATCTCACATCTGGTTCATCAGCTTGGTCTCTCTGGCACAAATTTTCACCTTCTTCCAGGCACTCCAGGGCATCTTCATTCTTGCCTTGTAGGTGTTTCACATAGGCCAATAGATTGTGAATTCCCACATTGTAGCTGGTCTCTAGAAATTGAATCTCTTCTGAGATCCTCTCTTCTAAGTCAGACACCTCGGAGTCTTCAATTAACAGCTGCCACGTGAAGTGACATCTCAGTTGCCCCAGCTTTTTCCGGATCTGATGTTCATCTGCACACTTACTATGAAGACAAGAGCAGAAGTTATTTATTAGATGAAGAAATACAGAGGTGAAAAATAGAGATAAGCCAATGATAATGTCTTGAAAGTCTCCCACTTAGGTTTCTTTTGGAGTGATTGAGGAATTTTGTTTTTTTGTATGATGCTTTTCAGGGTTCATATTTGTCACAAAGGGAGGGGGCTCAGACCATGTGTACATCAATTTATAATGGAGTGGTTTAGGATGAAGGTGAAAGTGGGTTAAATCAGTGTTCCAGTTTCTTCTGTTTCCTGGGCAGGAGGGTGGGGAGATTGCAGGGCTGTGTGCAGGGAGGTGCTCCACTTCTTGCTGTCAGTGTGTGTCAGCTCATGGGGACTGAGGCTGTCATTTGATGTTGCCTTAGGGAGCCTGATAAGGGGGAAGTGTTCTGAGGACTTGTGTTGTCTTGCTTGTTTTGAGTTTTTTACTTTCTTGCACCATAGGTGAGATATTCTAAGGCCTCTTAGCTGTCCATATGTACTTTGTGTGTCCACAGACACAGGTACAAACCGCTGTCCTGGGGTGTTGTTCAATCTGTCCTTTTTCACAGTTTTTGCAGAGGTACTCAAGATCCTCTGTTGGTTTAGATGAACTGGCTGTCTTGTCATTTGTGTGCCTCTGGGTATGTTTTCTATTTCATATGTAGTCCCTGTATGTTTTAAATTCTATTTTCCATAGGCTCAGGGATTTCCTCTTCCATCCTCCTCACCAACCTTCCCCCTCACTGTATTCTGCTATATTATTGCAAGAGTGTAGTGTTTCAACAACAGTTACATGTCCATCATTCTGCTATTGAAGTGCATCATGATATTGTAGAGTACTTGTCTTTTTTGTGTAATTATTTCTTCTCTCATAATTTGGTTTAATGGTTATGGCAGCACTTACTTTGCAAGGACTTGTGAAAACCTTTCCCATTGGATGGAAATTAATGTATTACAACTTAATGGAGAGTACAGTCAACTTGATTGATGATTCAACTTTGATCTTTGAATTTGCTGAACAGAAAGAGACCAGGGTCTTGGGGGATTGACTCTTCTTCATGATTCACATCTGCTTTTTTGAGGTTTCTGGCTTAAGCGCCAGTAGAGTCATCAGCAGTGTTTCTGGACATTTCCCAGTAGTTTTTGTTTGTTTGTTAATTTTGTAATCTAATTTGGTAGTTTGATTAAAGGTCAATGCACTCACCATGACTGAAGCCTGGTGAGGATTTTTGTTCTCTTGGTTAGAATTGTGGGTTTGGGATTCTCTGACAAATAGGACAGTGGATAATCTGGATGAGCTCCCAAGAAGACTTTTGGTCTAGCTGGCTTTTGCAGAGACTGACCCAGTCTTTGGAGGACATTGGCCATAACTCTTGGATAATTACTTGGGCCAGATTTTCAATTGTCCATTTCCTGTTGTAGCTCATCACATACCCCTATTTAGGAACTTAGGATTCCTAAAATGCCCTTTCCTTATGTAATTATGAAGCAGTAGATACTTGTCTTTTTAAGATATGTCCTTTGCAAGTTGTTATGTTGTCTGTATTTCCTGCTCCCAGTGCCTTCTGTCAAACTGCTTATCTTTGCCCCAGGACCCTTTTTGTAAAAGAGGGTAATAGTAAAACTTCCCATACCTGGTTTGGGAAGTTTAATAAGCCTGTATAACTAAAGATTTATTACCAGCTGTATGGTAGAGGCATATTTGGCTATTGATGTAATTAGGACAGAGACCAGTTGGTAACGTAGAATCCTATGAAGCATTATAGATTTTAACATTTTAGTCTCTATGTAATGGAACAAATTCAGAGGAACTCAGAGATACTATTTACTAGTTTTTCACTATTCATTTGAAATAACTGTAGATTCACAGAAAAGGCCAAAGGTAGGGCAGAGAGCCAGTGTCTCCCTTACTCAGCTTCTCCCAGTGATTTATACAAGTATCATGGAGTATCTACATAAGAAGTTGTCATTAGTACAACAGTGTGTGTGTGTATGTGTGTGTGTGTGTGCTGATCTGCGACTCTTGATCATGTAATTACAAATCTTGGGACCACCACCTCAATTAATATGCAAGACTGTCCCATCCCTGCAACAATTCCTTTATGATAAACTTCTATGTGTAACTTCTTCAGTGTATAGCTTCTTGACCTATAGTACCATACATCCATGGCCTTTTGGAACTATTGCTTTCAGTTTTATGTCTTTAATATTGAATTCAAGAATGTGTTACAAATGGAAAAGGCCTTTTAAGTATGTAAAGAGCAATCAGGTTAATATACCCAATTTTAAAAATGAAGGTGAGAGATCATGACACTGAATGCAGCAAAAGGATTTGGATCAATAGCATACTTTTATGATAAAAGCACTCAAGACAAGTCATAGGAAGAAACTACTCCAATACAATAAAGACCACATGCAAGAGATGCACAGTTAGCATCCTAAGTGCTAGAACATGAAATATCCTGCTAGAATGCAGGCAAGGATGTCAATGTCCACCTCTTCTATTCTCTGTTATTTGTGAATACAGAAATTATTGATAATTCCACACAAACTGTTAGAGCTAATAACCAAGTTGAGCAAAGATACAGGATACAAACTCAGCAGGCAGAAAAATCATTGTGGCTCTATACACTAAGTATGAACATTTAGAAGAAAATTAAGAAAACACAAATCTGATATAATACCATTAGAATGAATAAAATGCTTAGGAACAAACGTAACCATAGCGACAAAGATGTGTGTGCTTAAACAACAAAGCCTTGCTGAAAGAATGTAAAGGTGACACAAATAAATGGAAAGCCACCCTCTGGCATGGATTAGAAGACCTCATATTGTAGAGATGTCAGCACTACCCAAACCAATGTACAGATTTAATACATTCTCTGTCAAAACCATAACAATGTTTCAGAATTAGGAATTTCATCCTAATTGATTCCTGGGTTCTCAAAGCATCTCAAATAGCTGTAGAGTGTTGGGCCAAACTACATATGGACAACTCCTACTTCATATTTCAACATGCACACTTACAGACACACACACACACACGCACGCACACACACACACACAAGCTACAGGAACCTAAACATTTCCCATGTTGGTATACAGACAGAAGCAGTGGAAGAGAGAGCCCTGGGATGATGTCTTGAGCAAGGGTTGTATCAGCTCAGGCTGTAATAACAGCAGACCACAGACTAGCTGGCTTAACAGATGTGTTTTCCTAAAGTTCTGGAGGCTAGAACTCCAAGATCAAGGTGCAAGACAATGTTGTGCCTGGGGAGGACTCTTCTGCTTTGAGGATGGCTGCCTTCTTGTGATTGAGTAGCTGTGACCTTGACATTTTCATCACACCGTAACACCAAAGTGGGGCCTGTCTGTCTTGGCACATAAGGAGAAAACACACTGGTGTGTCTTCTTTTTTAGAGATCGCAGCCTTATCAGATTAAGGCCCTGTACTTACGACTCCATCTTGACTTTGCTTTAAACACCATCACTAAATACCCAACAGGAGTTAAAGATTGAATATATAGATTTGTATGTGTGGCACTGTATATGCAGTTCCTACTTACAGTAATATAGTTTTTGAGAAATGTGATAAGGCTACTTGGGGAAATGTTTATCAACAACTGGTATGTAACCAGACACGAGAAGAAAGCTTGTTATTTATTCCATATAGAGATAGTGGTTTAAAATAGCTTAACAATCTAAATGTAAGACCTAAACTAGAAGTTGTAAGGTTAAAGCAACAGAAAGCACCAGACAAGACTGCATATGAGTAAGAGAATGGTTTATTGGAGGGTGACACAGCTGGGCTCTATCAAAGAGGAGGGCAATGCCAGGCACGACCAAGGACCTTGTTTTTATAGGAATTAACAGAGGAGAGTGTAAGCTCTCAGGCTGGAACAGCCAGCATCTAGGAGTATGTGAAGTGGCTGATAAGGTAGGGCTGGGTGTAGAGCTGTAGTTAGCCTGTTGTGGGGCTGCCTTCTGGCTGTTTTTCAGAATGCAGAAGATGATTTTGCTTCATGGAGCAGCTCTTTAAAGTGAAAACATGGTGCTGGACATTCACTAAACTGCCAGCTGACCTTACACAAACTAGCAATCTGAGTTTTTATGATCATTGTTCAGCTGAGGTCATACAGGAACTCCCGTACAAAGCCCTTTTGGCAAACAGGATGCTACTGCTTCCATGCAGGTGTCTCCTGCCAAGGCTGGTGGCAAGCAGGTTCTAGGCGATTTGGGCAGCTTGAGTTGCCTGGGGAAAATTGTTTGCTAATCTAAAATGTATTCAGTCTCATACAGGAGCCCAGCTAGGCAGAAAAAGCACAAGCCTGCAGAGAAATGCCTGAGCTTCTGCTGTCACATCCCCACAGTATTTTCCCCAAGATAACTGAGAGGTCACGTGACTGGCTGACACAGCACTATGGATCTTGCATGTGGAGCCAGCAGAATATGATGTCTAATAAACAGACTGCCCAGCCCTCCACACATCAGACAAAGTACATTTTGTAGAAAAGAATCTCTGAGATTGAGGTCAATTTCTTCCTCCCTGCAAAGCAACTCTTCCCAGTTTCCCTCCCCCCTTTGGTGTTACAGTATGAGGAAAAGATCAAGGTCACAGCTACTTGAAAGGTCTGCTAGAAAGAATCCTGCCAGTGTATTTAGGTGAATGTATCTCTCTACGATCATGACACACAAACACTCCAACATCAGGTCCCTAAACATATGCAGGTCCAGAAAGATACACTATCTTCATATCCATACAGATATTAGATCCATAAACATACACAAGTAGTCATTCACATACTTGACTTTACTGATACCGTCCAATCCTGTTGCAATAGTACTGCCAACATTTTCTCAAAATCTACAGATCCCCTGAGGAGAAGCTGAGAGCTCCTTACCTCATGGTGGCTGTGAAGGGAGCAGAGCTGCTGCAGGTGTCCTGGTGCTGGACCTGGTCCTTGTTGATATGGCCAGCCAGCTTGTGGATTTCCAGAGAAACTGAATACCCCAGACAGGACAGTAGAGGGTGGCGATTGGCAGCAAATGTTGTAATGTGTGTGTGTCCTTGTTACTGGTAATGAGAAACTGAAAGTGACCAATGAAACTGAAACTACCAGCTTCCTTGCTCTTGGGAAAAGAAACCTAAGCAAAGTGCTTAGTTGTCTGTCTTGATAACTGCCTCAGAAATGATGGTTGTGGCTTTGTTTGATAACCATAGCTGTGCCAAGTCCTCTGGCGACCTGCTAACCTGGATTGGCCCTGTCCTACCTGCACATGTAGCCTTATGTGTTCATAATCAATTGTCAGGAATACTATGAGAGATTGGTCTCCTGGGCAGAGATTTGTCTGTTTTCTTTACATATCTTTTCTTTATTCTTCTCTTTCTTCTCTTTTTTTTTTCTTTCATTCACTTTATCTCTACTCAGCCTTCTTACTGCACAGAGCAAGTGATCCAGAAAACCCAGAAGTTAGAAAGACCATGTCACATACTGGGTTGGTAAGTGGTCTCAGTGGAAGGTGGGAAAGAATCAAAATCAGGAAGCTCAAGTCAGAGAGTTCGCTCGGGAAAGCAGCACAGAACAGGTTGCTTCAGAGTAGCCCCGTGCGATATTTCGGTTCCTCTTTTATGGGCCTTAATAAATTGATGCTATTATTTGAGTTGTGCAGTCCTCCTTAATTTACTATGTAAATTCAGAGCAAAATCCTCAGCCAACCTCCCAACTACCCCAGCACCGAAAAAGCATTGGGAACAGTCACCTGATATCATCCCAGGGTCCCCTATGTGGAGCATATTCTGAGGTTCTATTCAAGTGGTTTCAATAGTTCTGGTATGCTGTTGATCTTACTGATCCAAGACCAAGGAAATACTTTCAAAGCCCACTGGCTCACACAGTTCACCACAGAGTGTTCATTTGCCCAGAAATGTGCTATCAAGCTGCCCTGGGGTAGTAGACCAATTTGTTCTGCCCTTCCTACTCTGCTATGGTACCAGATGTCCTCTGTACATCCTAGGGGACTACGTAATCCTTCATGTACATCTGTGTATGCTGTCCACTGCACCCTCTTCAGCAGCTGAGGAGGCCCCTTTCAGACACATACACTCCACAGTCAGATCCCAGGTCCTGCCACTCTCCCCATGGTTGGAGTTCTGAGTTCAGCAGTTTAACTGGGGGAGGGATCCTCAAGGAAATCACATCTGAAGTGATCGCAGACCTGACTCATATGTGCCTGCCAATACTGGGTGTGGCTCATTCTGTCACCCTCATCACCCTATACATACTGAGAGTCACAATTTCTAGATCAGATCTATTCTCATCCCTGTTTCTTTTTTTTTTTTTCAGTTTAACTTTTTTTTAAAACTTTTTTTTATATATATTTTGACAATCTTTAGATAGTTAATTAGGGTGGAAAGGGTCAAAGGCTACAGGAAAATGGCTAAGACTATTATTTTTTCCAAATTGTTTGCTTCATGTTTAAAGGGGGGTATTAAGGAAAAAAGGCCCACCCAATTTCCCACCCTCCCCAGGTCCTACATGTAGGGTATGCTGTGAGGTTCTTGCTCGAGTGGTTTTGCTATTTCAACAGTTATGAATCACTGCCAATTCTGCCACTCCATGCACGATGAGGTCCTTGAGGATTCCACTGATTGACATAATCCATCATAGAGTCTCTGTTTGCCCCGAATTTCGCTGCTAAGATATAGCTGGGATGATTGGTTGACTTGTTCTGTCTTCTCCCTTTTTTCGGTTAGGGTTCTGAGTCCAGCATTTTGATTGGGGAGATCTCCAAAGAAACTTTGTCTGAAGTGTTCTCGGACCTGATTCTCACCCCTGTTTCTTATGAAAACTAGTCTATGTTGCAGCCCATCAGAACCTGCCCACCACATCTGAGCCCCCTGTGTATATAATTGGGAGCTGTAGCTAGTTGGGTGTCCCCCAATAACTCCCAGCCTGGTGGGCCCCCAGTCCTGATTCCTGTGCCTACCAGCATGCCTAGTCCAGTCTGTCCCCACATCCCATTCAGCTCTTGTATATATCATTGTGCACTGATACTTGAATCAATCCAACTGACTCCCTTATCTGGCCCTCGCTCATGCTTGTGGGCGCTCCCACCTGTCCAGCTAGGCCTGGCCTAGTCCTGGTTCTCGTGCTCACCAGTGGGAGCTGCAGCCCATCAAAGAAGTGCTCATAGCTTCTATACTAGATCTACTCCCTAACCCAGATCTGTTACTCTCCAGGTGGTTCTTTAGTCTAGCTGGACAGGAGTTGCCCATAGTCTCAGCCCTTAACAGCTGTTGCTGCAGCTAAGGCTGACCAGCCTGCCTTTCCTCTGGCTCAGACCTGCACTAGTGGATACAGTTGGTTAGCCCAGCCTGGCTCTGCCTCTAATTTCACATGCTGGCCAACAGGTATGGTAGCCCTGCCCAGCCTGGTCTGTTTTGGGTCTCCCCCACGGATTCCTCTAGTACCCCATTGCTGCAGGGGGTAAACCTGCTGCCCCCATTGAACCTCCCAGCATGTGAGACACACACAGATGTGACAGGGGTTCCATCTAAACAGTTCTCCTTTATTTGGGAATTACAAATTCTTCTGTAGAGTAGTGAACAGCCTCAGGCCAGGAATTCTAGGAATTCTAAGAGGGAAGAAACTAGGAGGCAATTGTCATCAGCAGGACTGCAGAAGCCACCTCCCACAGGCCAGGGGCAGGTAAACAAAATGGCCCTGGCCAATCAGTCTTTCTTTGAAATGACTTGACTCTCACCCTGATTCTCACCAAGGGCTCTGTTCTTGGCTGCCTTGCCTTGCTGGCCACATGTAACCCAGTGACCTTGAGTGTTAGTCAGCATCTTGTTGACTTAGTGACTTCTTTGTCCTTTGAACCCCACAGTCTGCCCCTGATCCCAGCTCTCACACTCACCAGCAGGAGTAGTGGTCCAGCAAGGGAGTCCCCACAGCTCCCCTAATGAGCTTGCACTGCCACCCCATCTGCCCATGTCATGTGTGGGTGGGTGGGTGCTGTGACCCAGTCTGGTATGGCCCACCTCACCTTAGCATATGCTGGCAGCTGCTGCAGCCTGTACTGGCTTGGTCTGTCCCCAGGTGCAGCTCATGCTGGTGGGTGCTGCTGCCCATTCTGGCCTAGTCCGCCCCCAGTCCTAGCCCTAACATGAACTAGCTGGTGCTGTGGTTTGACTCAGCCTGTCCTGTGGTCTGTCCTTGTTCTCAGATCTTCCAGTGGGTGTTATGAACTGGCCTAGCCTGGCCTGTCCCCAGACCTGAGCCACAAGTATGCTGGTAGGTACTGTAACCTGACCTGGTTCTTCTTTTTGTGCTGACCTGCAGGGATTGCGTCCTGGCAAAGCAGTTCCTCAAACTCCTCTATTAGGCAGAGAACAACACTTTCAAGGATGCATGTGGGGATTGCTTCTTCAAGTGTGATTTTGGCTTTAGAAATTAGTAGAA